ACTGCTGAATCCCAGTTAGGCCCACTTCCTGAAATGTTCCATAATCTTTCAGACATACCATTGGCTGGTATAATAGTTACTGTCTTATCACTGCAACCCAAAAAGCTTGGCACAGTGGTACACACCTTTAATCATAGAACTCAGGAGTCAGAGGTAGGCAGATCTCTGAGTTTAAGGCCTACAAAGATCTACAGAGATCTACAGAGTGAGTTACAGGGCAGCCAGAGCAACATACTGAGACCCTGTCTCATAAAACAAAAACAATAACAACAACAAAATAAAGTTACAAGAAAAAAAGTTAAGGAAGGGTTTGTTTGTCTCACAGTTCGATGATATAGAAAGCATGGTGGTGGTGGTGGTGGTGGTGGTGGTGGTGGTGGTGGTGGTGGTGGTGGTGGTGGTGGTGGTGGTGGTGAAGATGGTGGTGGTGGTGGTAGTGGTGGAAGCATGAAGTATCTGAACACATGGCCTCCACAGTCAGGAAGCAGGGAGATGAATGCTTAACCTGAGTCTATCCTTTTCTCTTTTTATTCAGTCCCGGACCCCAGTCCATGAAATTATACCATCCACATCCAGGGTGGTTCTTTGCACCCCGGTGAAATCTCTCTAGAAGAGGCCTTACAGATATACCCAAAGGTTGTGTCTCCTAGGTGATTATAAATCCAGTCAAGTCAGTAATTGAAATTGACTACCATGGAGCCTAGAGAGTTGGCTCAGTGGTTAAGAGCTCTTGTTTCCCTTGCAGAGGACCTGGGTTTGGTTCCCAGCACCCATATGGTGATTCACAACCTTTATAACTCCAGTTCCAGTAGATCTAATGCCCTCTTTGGCCTTTGTGGGCAACAGGCATGCATGTGGTACATATACATGCATGTAGGCAAAGAACTCATACACATAATATTAAATAAATTAACTAATAAATAATCGTTTTAGCTAATTACTACAACTCTACCAATTGTTAACTTGGTTGCTAAACACATCACTTTAAAGTATAACATTCCATCCCTAACTCTCAAAGTCATATGGCTAGCTTATAATACCAAATTCCAATTCAGAAGTTCCCATTGCCTTCACAGTTTAAAGATTGTTGAAAAGTTCCACTTAACAGATTAAACATAGTCTAAGACAATCTCTGAATCTGGGAAAATATATCCCTAGGTTGCTATTTTAGAGCAGAGAACCCTTGAAGTAATGTTCTGTCTCTGGCTCTCCCTCCAAGTAAATTTGCATTTTTAAGATGGGTCACTCTATGTATCCCTGGCTGGCCTAGAACTCAGTATGTAGACCAGGCCTGGCCTTGAACTTACAGAGATCCACCTGCCTCTACCTACCATGTGCTGGAATCAAAGACATGTGCCAATACACATGACTGGATTTGTATTTTTTAAACAGTCAGTTCTTTTGGATGGGGTCTCTCCTTAAGGAGGGTACCTTTCCTATTGTTCCAGTGCTGAGCAGTGGGGTTTCTCTTTAGCTGCTTTCTGTACCCCCTGTGACTGCAACTTGGTTCTAAGTTCCCATAACTTGTTCATACTCTAATTTGTTCCTTTCTTCCCCAAAGCATGTATTTGCTGTTCTCTCTCTCACTGGAAATCTGAATAAGAGTAATTAGCAGGAACTATGTCACAGCTTGAATGTTAGATTATCTCCTAAAATTTCTTCCACTAAATGACCTCCATTACTTTTACATTCAGCTTCACACAAATTTTCAGGACACTGGTAAAATGCTACATGACTCTGCCAGAGTATAATACAAGTAGCCAGAATCTAACTTCCCAGTGGTATCCTTGTTCCACTCTGAAACCTGTGTACTGGGCCTCCCCTGTCCTTATTATTATTTTATTTTGGTGTATGATTTTATAGATTGCAGCTTCATGGCCCACTAACCTCTGCTTATAGCATGGTAAGGTTTGTCTATCTAGCCCACAACTGCAAACTCTTCTACATTCTTACCATAATTTTTTTCCCATAAACTATCATATGGTCAGATTTATGACAGGAGTTGGCCTACTTCTTGGTACCATTTTTCTGTATTAGTTACTGTCTTGGTGCTGCTATTAAATACCTGACAAAAAACAACTTGGGGAAGAAATGGTTCATTTTACCTTAAAATTTGTGTGGGGAAGGTATGGTGGCCACAGTATTCTATCTGTGGTGGCAGGATCACTAGGAAGCTGGTCTTATTGCATAGCCAGAAAACAGGGAAAGATATTCGATGCTGGTACTCAGTTGACTTCCTCTTTTTTTTTCTTTTTTCTTCAGTCTAGTACCCTAGCTTTCCATATTCAGGGTAGGCCTTTCTTCCATTAAAAAAAAAAACCTCTCTGAAAATACCTTCCTGAAAATGTGTCTTAGGTGATTCTAAATCTAACCAGCTTGACTAAAGGTCTAAAAGGTCTAAATCATAACAGTTAAGAAACAAACATTTAAAGTATTAGCCATTAGGAAATAGTTCAGATTTAAACTGTGACATTATCAAATAGCCATTTTATTCCTTCCTTGTAAAATCAACAGTGATTTGGAGACAGTGACGGTATGTCCAGTTTCAAGCAATAAATCACAATCAATCTACATCAGACATAAGAAATATGTCCCTTCAAGATACTTGCTTTTATTCATTTGTCCTGCTTGTAAGGGGACTGTACATGAAGAAAACATCTTAACTACTGAGCCATCTCTCCAGCCCCCCTTACATGTGCTTCTTTTTCAAGAAAGAATTGTAGTAAATACTTTTAAGCCATCCTCAGCAGTTCAAACGAACTGGGAAATCACCCACTTCTCTGCATTCCCAGATGGGTTCTGAGCTAAATAATCAAAGAAGGTAAAACATGAACAGTTATGGGGCTGGCACCAATGTTGGGCAGTTGAATTGACTGTAACCCCATCTGCATGGATTCCAACATGATCTCTAGTCTCCACATATGACATGCATTCACACATATACATAAATATTTTTTAATCTTAAAAAACATGAGCAGTTCTACTCTTTCCAATTATTTGTAGAGCTGTTAAGGCCTTGCTTGAATCACTCAGATCCTATTCATAAGTAGCAGGGAGGAAATTTAAATAGAAAATTACATATTTAAAGAGAGTCAAATATTCTTTCAAAGAATCGTTAACCTATTGAATTCTCCTCTGTAATTTCCCTTCCATAATAAGATGCTTCTCCCATGCTCCTCTTCTCTCTGGAATGATTTTCCAACCTCTCTGATAGCTTTAGAATATATTTACCTTTTGAATACTTTTAGCCTGCTCTAAAATTATGAATTTCCCTGGCTAGGGTTGTAGTTCATTGGTATAGTACTTGTCTAGTATGTGCAAGGCCCTGAGTTCAGGCTCCAGCAATGCAAAACAAAACAAACAGAAAAAATATAAATTACCTCTAGTAATTCTTTCTTTCTCTGAACTCCTGGACTCAAGAACAAAATAATTCCACATCCCAGAGAAATAATTTGCTGGTACCTTTTTATTTATATCATTGTTGCATTAATTGAAATTATTTTATCTGTAAAATATGTTGGCTGACTTTTAATTATACAATAAATATAAAGAAACATTTAATTTTCCAAGAGATGGCCACATTGGTTTATGTTATGTCATGTTAACACAGACTGCTTCTTAGTTTGCTTTGGTTCCAGGCCTCCTGGTTGAAATTCCAGCTCAAATTTACAAATTAAAAGTTTAATACTATGTATCCACTATGGGCCTCCCTTTCCTCACTTGCAAGATAGGTATGATAAACAATACAATAATACAGTATTGGTTGTATGGAAAAACTTTTACTATATGTAAAATAAAAAAATAGGTTTAACAAATCTGCTTTTGCCTAAAAGTTGCTTTTCTTTTTTCAAAATAAAAGTTTGATTGTTTTTCTTTAACTTTTCTAAATCAAACAAGAATATTAGTCCCTGGATTTTAAGCTCCCATCATATTGAAGAAACAAGAAATTGAATTATGCAAGCTGCATATGTAAAAATGACTCATTTTCTTTCTCGCTTAACTTTTAGTCATGTATATTTTATGTGTGTGGATTTTTTTTCCTACATGAATATCTACTGTGCTCAAGGAGATTAGAAAAGGGAATTGAATCTACTGGAACTGGAGTTGCCAATGGTTGTGAGCCACCATATGGATGTGAGCCACCATATGGCTGCTGAGAACTGAACCCAGATCTGCTGCAAGAGTAACGAATGCTCTTAACCATTGAGCTAGCTCTCCAAATCATTTTCATGTTTTAGAAACACATTTTATTGTTTTTTCTTTTTCTTTCTTTCTTTTTTTTTCCGGAGCTGAGGACTGAACCCAGGGCCTGAGCTGAATCCCCAACCCCACATTTTATTGTTTTTATCTAAGGTGACAGGTAATTTCTCAAAATCATATTTACACATTTATATTCATTGATAAGATAAAACAGAAACAGGATGTGGTAATCTAAGGGACTAGGAAGATGATAAAAATGTCACATGGAGATACAAGAAAACTTACTCTGAACAGACTCAAAGTTTTTTTAAATGATAGATACCAAAATATTAATAATGTTTAATGTCTTTGTGATAAAATTGCAAGTAATTTGTTTCTCTTTTAGCTGTTTAGTTTAAAATCTGTATTCTAAATGTCATTTTATGTAATGAAAATTAGTAGTTGTAAAATTGACCATTATACCAAAAGTATACAATATTAAAAGCTGCAGCTCTTCATTACCTTTGTCAGCCATGCAACCATAAGAGACCTGAAACTTCAGTGTACTTATCTATAAGCTATGATACTTGGTAGTTAAGTTTATTAAATACAACAAATTAACGATGTTTTCAAATGATAATCAGTTTCTTTGGGAATAACTCCATTCTAATGAGGGGCTTCTATATTTGTTATTTGCTGCAATGTAAAATAAGGCTTTGTCACTTGAACCAACACATCTGATTCTGGGTTTTTGTCAATATGAGAACACAGGATTTTGACCATACTGATTTTTTCCTATTTATTTTGTTTTGTATTTTCAGAAAGAATTTTGGAGCACCTATACAAAAGCACAACAAGGAGAGACCAACAGAGGAAGTGACTGGTTTCAATTTTATCTTACTTTTCCATTAATCTTTGGCCTCTTCATTATTCTCCTTGTCATCTTCTTAATCTGGAGATGCTTTCTAAGAAACAAAACTCGGAGACAAACAGTAGCTGAAAGCCACATTCCTTTTCCTCAACATCTTAACATTATTACTCCACCTCCTCCAGCAGATGAAGTCTTCGATAACAGTGGATTGTCTCCAGGCTTTTTGGAATACGTTGTTGGGCGCTCAGATTCTGTCTCCACTCGCCTTTCCAATTGTGATCCCCCACCGACCTATGAGGAAGCAACTGGCCAGATGAACTTGAGAAGTGAAACAGAACCTCACTTAGACCCACCACCAGAATATGAAGACATAATTAACTCCAGCTCAGCTAGTGCCATTGCTATGGTGCCTGTGGTCACCACCATCAAATGAAGCTGCAAACCTCTTTTTACTCTAATCATTTCTAAAATACTAATGGGAGAACTTTCTAGCACTTTACCACTACATAAATGTGCATTGACTTATCTTATTAGATAACTCCTACAGCATACCACTTCACATTTACTGGTTGATTTATCTTTAGTTTTGTTTCTTATTATAAAAGTATTATCCACATTCATTTTTACAAGAGAAAACATGAAGGAAAGACATGCCAGTGAAGGTCTTTATGTGCTGTATAACATACACATGTCTGTACAAATATGTATATGTATGTATGTGTATATACATATATATGCATATAGCCACATGTGCATCATCCAGTATGTGTAACTCTTGTATAATTAACTAACTTCCACCACACCACCCATAAAGACAGCATTACTCCCCAAAACTGAAAAGGACAGGGAGGGCACCAACAGTTTATGTGATAGTCAGCAACATGCAATGTTTTCTAACTATTATAGACATCGGTTAACCTCCCATTTCTTTCTTCAAAGGAAAAATATACATGGATTCATTCTCAGTTTTAGAAACATCTCACAGAGAGAGAGACAGACTGATTGTGGAGTATAACAAGGAAATCATTAGTCATTAGCGGCATTTAGCTCATTTCGTACTAGGGTTTTTCTTTTTGGCTAAGTGCTACTCACTGTCCCATTAAAAGCATCTTTGAATGTTTCATGCTACTCATATTAATATCTTGTTTGTAAGAATTTCTAGGTAATGGAATAATGTATGTGTTAGTGACAGGGAGTAGATTCTGACTACCCCTTTGCTCATTGTGTTGGGTAACATTTTTTCTTTTACACTAATTTGTATTCTCTCATTGCTATCATATATTCTTCATGCACTCAAGAGTTTAGCTAAAACCAATTTTTTGATGTATTTTCTTAATGTTTTATACAGGCTGAAATCTTCACAATTTTCCATTTAGTTATAAGCTGTGACTTTGGAATTGACACTGTGTTGATGGAAGGTGATTACACAGTATCTGCTATAGCAGGTGCACACTCAATCTAGTATAGTCCCACATAGATTTCATTAGTGTTGCTGTTTTGTTTTACAGTCTATCGTTTTGTTTTTTTGTTTTTTTTTAGCTGCAATAGTTTTATTTCTTTCCCTTTGAGTAGAGGGAGCAGGTTGTGAATGAACTGCCAAAATAAACTATTTCAGAAGAATAAGAAAGGTCAAATGAAATGGTATATGTACAAGTAATTTGTGCAATGTGAAGAACTATTAAGACGCTAATATTAATATTGTGCTACAAGGGGACATTTCTGTTTCCCTAGAATTGAGCAGAGCTTTCACATATTGAGAACTAGAGCAGTCTTCTCCATAAATAGCTAATATTTTCCTAATCTGAATGTCCAGGATATTACTTACCTTCTGACATAATCTGGACTGTATAAAAGCTGTGCCAATTTAAGTATATTTGCCAATGCAGCATAGGATGAATAAATGCTGGAAATTACACCAAAGTACATGAATTAGTTATAGGTCTGATAGATGAAAAATATATCTTGATAATGGTCTTAGCACAACAATATTGCTTTGAATTTTTTCTGACTATATAATCTTTCCTTTCTAATTAAATCTGAAGTTAGAGATGTTTGATTCAGTGTGGACAAGGAGATATGTGTTGTTTATAACTGAAAATTTAGGCGTGCGTGTGTGTGTGTGTGTGTGTGTGTGTGTGTGTGTGTGTGTGTGCGCGCGCGCGTGCCTAATATTAGGCTTTAGATGAGACCAATAATTTTCAGATTTTGGCCCACAGACCCTGGGAGTTCCTGACAGTCTTCCAGGGGATCTGTGTAATCAAAATATTTTCATCCTATCTGAAGACATTATTTCTCTCTCTTATTCTAATTCTCTCAAAACAGAGTTAAACAATGGAAAACAATAGTCTTTCCACACATCTTTTTAAAAAAGAAAATATAACTATTTTTCATAAAAATGTATTCATTCTTATTGGCATTTTTTTAATTTTTAGGTGATCTAGTCTTTTAATTTTTTTAGTTCAATTCTAACATGCTAAATAGTTATCGATATAAAACTCAAAAAAAAGTTCATTGGAATCTAGAGTTTCCCAAGAATGTAAAGGGTGATCCAGAAACCAAAATTTTAAGATCAACAGGATTAGACAAAAAAAGGACATCCTGTCACTAAGTTAGGGTTTTTTTTTTTTGTAATGTGATTTCACATTTTGAAGTCTGAATATTGGATTTAATACTTCCTGCACTGAAGTATAAGAATGAGTGATGATTCTTGGAACAGAAGCCAAATGTTTAAATTGATCCACTGATCAATTTAATGACAACTATTTAGATTGTTGGTCAGAGAATACACTACTTCATAGTAAATAATAGCTGCACTAACCAAAAATTTCATGACAGCTTTTCCATGATAATGAGAGAATAACCAAATTACTTTCTTCATGAAATTTTCTTTTACATTTTTTGTTGTGTTTGAGTACAGTTTAGGTTTCATACTTTGAAAATCTCCTTTCTTAGCCCTTCTGGTTTTGTAAAGTGTGAGTTTTGTAACTATTATAATTAAGGGGCTTATCTGGAATAATATATATTTTTATGCTTTGCCTTTCCTACTTGATTGATACTGCATTTGCCTTTGATCGTTTTTAATGAAGATTTATTTTTGCAGAATATACTTAATACCTTTCTAATCAGTAAGTAAATGGAATTCAATGGTTTATATTTAAATAGAAGGATCTGCTCATGGCTTCTTGAGTAGAATGATTTTCAAGCCTCAACCTGCAGTGCTTGTGCCTGGAATCCTTGAACTGGCAATTTATGCTTCCCTGCTCTAAATGTCATAGTAAATTCTATATGTTCTAAATAAATGAAATGATTGCTTCTTTTCCTGTTGACCAAGCAAAATACAGATGTTATATTTGTTCATTGCTAATGAAAACTTCTTCAAGACTGATGATCTGATCCAGTAACTACAGAGGTAGTTTTAACTTAGTTCTATGTAAATAGCACGTATTTTATGACAATACTTCACATTTTCAAATGCTTGGTTTACATTAAATTATGATATTTAACTTTTTATGTTTATACTAGATACGATTTTCTTATGTTTCTGTGTTTTTAGTATGCTAAATAAAGCTATTTTTAAACCCAACAGATTATTTTTCTGTCGTATATTAATCATGTGATTAGGTGGTAAAAATATTGCATATACTATTATAAATTACATTTTAATTAGGTAAAATTATTATATTTTTCTTATGAATTTGCAGAATATTACTGTAGAGAAATCAGGAATAATTTAGAGAAACCCCCAGAGTTTTCTCAGTATTAAAAACTTTCTAAACGACCAAAAGAAATGGAAACACCTGCTTCATGTGAATAGAACGAGATCCTTGCTATTGTGTACTTTGTCAATCCATGGGAATAGAGAATGATGTCTACAGATACCAAAACATTGGCTTTTTCCTGCTTAAAATAAGTTTCTTTTGACATTTACCATGAGAAAAAAATAACACATTATTAAAATGTTATGACCACATGACATTTCCCCAAGTGTAGCTAACTTAAAATAGCAAAGACTGATATCAGTAGTGTAAAGGAAGCATTGTAGTTATGATTTAAATTTTCTGCTATACAATTTTAAGTTATTTATGTTTGGGGTGAAATTTTAAATATTAATTCTAAGTATATATTTCATTTCTGAAAAAAAATCTTTCAGCTTGATGATGGCAACCACGAATCATGTTTTGATACTTTGGTACCTCAGAAGACTTCCTCTTATCCATAACACTGGGTGCTCGCTACACACACACACACACACACACACACACACACACACACACACTCACTCACTCACTCACTAACTTACTGGTCACTTGAGCACATCTAAGAACTCCTCATAGACTTTTATCTGCAGGTTAGCTTTGGGGTTGATATCTTGTGGATTTGGTTTCTGACAGTCCTTGCTATTCACCCTTCCTCCTTTTGCTTCTCAGCCTTAACAATTTCAAAATAGTCATATTTAGCTCTTATAGAACTGTTTGTTGCCTGCTCCTTTACTACTATCCTGACACCGTCCACCAGCTTTACTCTGACACACACACACACACACACACACACACACACACACACACACACACATTTAACTTGGTTTTCTGTTTTATAAATAATATACATGCTGTCAATATTTTATTTAAAAATATGCTTTGATGTGCCAACATAACTGCTCTAGCTTTTTGTGTACCATAGTACTTCATAGCTTCAATTAGTACCTATGATATTAGCACAGTTTATCACATTTTACCAAAGAGAGATACGACTATACTACTTTTGTGTACCCCAACATTTTGTAAATCTTGGTTCCTGCCCCCCCCCCAGAGCTGAGGACCAAACCTAGGGACCCTGAGCTAAATCCCCAACTCCTAAAGCTAGGTTCTTAAGGGGGAATAGTTAACAATCACACCACTCTTAAGTCTATCATAAAATTGTATTTTCTTTGAGCATTTTTACATCCCTAATGCTGTTTTGAGGCAAGAGTTGTGTTTAATCAATTTAATTTATCCAAATTCATGAAATGTTTAAAAGCAAGGGCCTCATTTTGTTATGCTATCAGTTCATCAAATTCATCAGTTTTTCAGCTAATGTTTTTAATGTTTATATTTTAGCTGTAATTATTATGGTTGTTTGGTTGCTTGTGTTTGTGCTGGGGATAGAACTATGTGGACCTTATGCATGCTCTACTACTAAGTTAGACATGATAAATAAACTTCCACAAATGTCAAGAGAAAGTAAACAGCTATTAGGGAGGAAGTGCTAGATTGCAGAGCAGATGAAACACAAAAGCTATGGACTATGAAGACTAAAAGCAGAAAGCCAACTTGAGCAGTAGATGTGGCGCACAAAATACAGCCCTGCTTGAACTGGTTGAACAGTGAAAAACCACATTTAGGAATGGGGCTAGGTGAGCATTCTCATCATTGCCCCTGAGTGGCTGGGTTATACAGAGATAAATCAAGTAATGCCTTTCTTGCATATCACTTTACCCAACATTGCTGGGTTCTGAGACATTTTTCATTAGGCAGTGTGATGTCTAATCCTGGTTATCAACTTGACTACATCCGGAATCAACTCAAACTAAAGCAGCTGGGCACACCTCTGAAGAATTTTTCTTAATAGATCATTTGAGGTCAGAAGATCCACCCTAATTCTGGGCTACACCTTGTGGTGGCAGCCTACATTAAAAGGACATAGAAAAAGGAAGCTTTTTGACTGCTTACTGTCTCTCTGCCAAGTTCATCTATCCTTCTGCTGAAGCATTACTTTGCTGGTATTAGAACCTACTTCTTCAAGATTCCAACAAAGACTGAAGACTAGCTATGACATTCAGAATCATGGACTGAAAGACTACTTGATTCTTGGCCTTTCTGTTAGGAGACAGCCATTGTTGGACAAGTGAGGCCACTGCCCAAAAGACACTCTAGTAAATCCCCTTTATATATTCACTCTATCAACACTGCTCCTCTAGAGAACTCTAGCTAAACTAACATACAGGTTGACCTGGAACTTACTTATAGTTGAAGATAACCATGAATTCCTGACACTACCTCTCACATCCTGGGACTGCATGTACAGCTATACCCATTTTTCACCACTTTTAGACTGACTGAATAAATGGAAACAAATAATGGGATATGTCTGGTGCATGAGTACTTAGAATAGAAGATTCCCCTCCAGAAATCCTGATAACTCTGTAAAAGTTTTATTTACATAATACTAACTCGAGTGTCTTGCAGACTTAAATAGCATCTGAAAAAATATGCATGCCTGACAGAATGACAGTGTAAGAGTCAGGCACAGCAGTTAAACTTTTGGAAGGTTTCTGGTTGGGTTAAGCACAGATAATACACAAGATGATTAAAAAAAAACCAACAACAGTTTATTCCGGTAAATGTAGCTAGAGCAGTTAAGACATTTAAATGCAGAAGGCATAGTGTATGAGTGATAAAAATGCAAGCCTAGAAGATATAAAGTCATTGAGGGAAAATCCCAGTGCTAAGGGTGTATATTTTCCTCATACATTTGAATATTTAGAATGTTCTGATAAACAAGTATAATTGAATGCTAGATCAAGTTTGGTTTTGTTTTAGGAAAAATTAAGTAATAGTAATGGCAAAAGTAGTCTGAATGAGCTTTTTTTTCCATTGTTTCAATAAAAGGCTGACTGGATAGTCTGGGCAGAAGATTCTGAGCATGATCTAGGTCACCTCTATCCAAAGTTGTTCGATTGTTACTGTTCATGTCTCCTCAAAGTATATATGTTGAAACCCTAATGGCCAAAGTGATCTTACGTAGGGTCTTTGGGATGTGATTGAATTCATTATTTTTCTACATCAATGGAGATTCATGTATGAGAGAAAAATTATCAGGATAGGTATTAAATTTCCACAGAATGGTCTACAATGATTAACTAAGAGTGAAAGAGAGCTAACCCATGATTATTTTAAATGTTGTGCATTTAAAACTTTGATCCTAGGACTGGAGAGTTGACTTTCTTCTAGCAGAGACCCCCGGTTTTGTTCCCAGTACCCACATTAGGTGGCTCAACTGCCCAGAACTCCACCTCTAGGACATCCAACACCATTTCTGGCGTCCATGGGCACCTGAATTCATGTTCACATACCACCCACATATGCACATAAAAATAAAACAAACTACAGTAAAATTTTGATTCTCCTATATTTTCTCAGCCAAAATGCCCTTAAGTGCCACTGGCAAACTAATGAATACATAATAAACTAACATAAAATATTTATTTAGTGCATAATAATAAAGAATGCATTTACAAGAAACTTATGTGGCAGTAATACAGTGTTGGAAACTCCATGAAGGATAACACAGGTATTGTTCCTCTCCTTTGTGAGATTACTGTCTTCTGGGCATAGTATACAGGTTATTCTTTAAGTGTTAAGAGCAGTAAAATGGAGCAATATATTCTTGGTTAAAAATACAGACTCTAGGTGGACTCCTAGATTGGGGATTTTATTCTACTGTTAAAGTGGACAATTTAATTAGAATTAAATAGAATGGACAAGTTTACCCTTTTTTTTTTTTTGCTTTTCAGTTTCCTCACTAATTCATGGGGACAGTAGCAGAACAAGATTCAGAGTAGTTCTCTAAAATTTAAGTGATTGTTACCAAGAATTAGCAATGAAAACATTCTTGTTCTGAAGTTCTTGGCATGATCAATCTACAAGGGAAGTAGAAGATTAGAGAAGGTGGGAGGGAGAAAAGGAGCTAAAGTGCATTTGAATGTCAGAGTCAAGTAGACTTACCTTAAGAGAGGGTAGGTAGAGTAGGAAACATTTCCTTGGAATAAGGAAATGTGTTGTGGGTCTGAGTGAAAGAAGAGATTTCTACATGCTTTCTTAGTTCTAACTCCATTCTAGCATCCATTTCTACACAAAAAGATTATCCCCAAACTTAGTTGCTCAAGATAATATATTTTAGTCCCTCACTGTGTTGGGGGTTTTTGCCACCTTGTTCAGTTATATCCCACTAGGAAGTTCTCATGTGGTCGGTGTCAGAGGCTGGCTAGTGCTATCTGAAAGGCTTGATTGGGATGAATGTGTAATATGATGCACTCAGAAAGCTAGCAATTAATGTTGAGCTGCTGACAGGGAATGTAAATAGAAATGTTGACAAGAGGAGCATCTTTTCTGTGGCCTGAGCTCACAACTTGCCAACTGGATCTTGAAAGAAGATTTCTCCAAGTGAGAGTTCCAAGAATATCAAATCAAATTCAAGGTTTATTAAGACATCATCTGGGATCTTGAGTTCAAAAGTGCCACTTCCACAACATCCAATTGTGATGGGGCAAGATAGTGCAGAGGTCACTCCAACCTGCATTCTTGCTGAGGCCATTCCAGGTTTAACTAGAATTTGATCTCCTTGATGGAGAATCCCATGGAAAATTACCCAAGTCTGTTCTAGGAATCAAAGATCAGGGTGTCCTAGCTAATTTAGCTCCTGTTAAAACTGCCTGTTTATGCCGGGCGGTGGTGGCGCACGCCTTTAATCCCAGCACTCGGGAGGTAGAGGCAGGCCGATCTCTGGGAGTTCGAGGCCAACCTGGTCTCCAAAGAGAGTTCCAGG